ATCTGCCAGACTGCCATCTACCCATATTTTATGTTTATAAAAATAATTTTCAGTACTTTTTGAGTTATCCTGGATCCCAGTTTAATGTGGTTAAATTGCCATATTTCAGACTATTTGTTGCCCTAGCAACCAAATTTTCAACATAGGAAGAAAAGAAAAAGACGTGCATAATCTCCATACTGCCATCTATCCATATATCGTTTCATAAAAAATTTTTCAGTACTTTTGCGTTATCGCGGGATCCAGTTTTGTGGACGGACGTACTGACAGACAGACAGATCAGACCCCGGAAGGTAAACCTAAAAGTCCCCTCCGGTTAAACCGGTAGGGACTAATAATCTATTTTGTGATATAAAGTGGTGTTTCACCACAATACATGCACATAATGTAGATTCAGTCATGTTCACGATAATGTAGATTCAGATTATTTTAGTTATGTTCAAAATGAATGTTACTCGGCTACATGTACATGATATAGACTGTAATACATTACATGCATAGTTTTTCTTACATGATGAGCAAGACTTTATATGAACCAAATAGCTGTGCAACGAACACTACAGAACGATTTACTTATAATTTTTCTTGTTCATAAAAATGATCCAATATGACACCTTTGTTTCATTTATACTTAATTAAGGTTTTATTATTTCTAGGATGGCATGTAGAAGTCAATGACTTGTCTATGTTTTTTATGTTTGATAGTATAATGAAAGTGAATTACATTCTCATAGAATTATGTCTCAGAAGTATCCCTGAAAAAGGTGAAAACTGTAGTGCAGATGTTACAGTATTTTTACTTAATTGTGGAAACAAGTTTTTGCAAGTTTTATATATGATTTACTTTATGCTTACAAAAACTGAAGACATGAGGAGACATGGTTGTTGTTAACCCCGTTTGGATTAAAACTTTCAACCTGGGGTCACAAGACTACACATTCAAGGACCATAAGTGAGCTGTTTTTTGACTTCCCATGTGTTTACAAAATCTGCTATTGTTATTCTTTCAAAATTATTGAAATCATTTCAATTTGAAAATATACTAATATGTTATTCATATAACAATTTAAAAATACACTGATCCAGAATAATTGATACACTGTCAATATCTGTAACTGTTAATATAGTCAGGAAAATAACTAGTGCAGTTTATTGTGAATACCAATTATCTTATATGGAATATTTTTTTAGAAAAATACCATATTTTAAATCATTCAGTTTTTCATCATTTTTTTGTTACCATGGCAAACCAAAATATACCATTTTTGTAATCAGTGCATTAAAGAATATTTGTTTTGCAATGGATTTATAATTTATATGCTATCATGTAACAGCTATGAGTTTTAAAGTAGACTAACTTAAGTTATGATATTCGCCTTAATCATGGAAAAAGATACTAAAATTCTGAGAATTTAATCCTTATGTTAATATTTTATTATCAATAACAATTTAAGGGGAAAATGAAATATCCTTTTTTTTTTCTTTTTCTGAAAAGTCTAAAATATTGTTGTCTTTTAATATTATATATGCATTCATTTGGTGATGAATTAATCATGTTAAGTGCAAAAATATTGCATTTGACAATTTTTTTTTTATTTTTGTTGCCATGGCAAACGATTATTGAAAACAAATGATAGTTTTTTTATCAAGATATTACATATATTACACCAAGATGAATGATAACTTGATATTTTGTTTATTTTAATATGTATAACTATGGAATAATTTCTAGTTTATATATACCAATAAAAGTTTAAATTTATTTGTTGTTGTTATGGTGATGTCATAAAAATTAGAATATTTCATAAAATATCAAGTATTTTAAAAAAAATAATTGTTTCCAGCTATTCAGCAGATGTTGTTCTACCTCAAACTAGTCATAACTCATTTTTGCCCAAATATCACATTTGGACCAAAACTCACTGAGCTTGTCACATATAGGTACTGGTATTTCTGGGAACCTTTCACTCCATTCTTCGCCATCTATCCCTTTACATGCAACAGTATCTTTAAAGGTTAAAGAAAAAATATGGGTTGATGAATTTGTAGACCTATCATCTGTGTTTAATAAACAGGACAGGACCACTTACTAAATATCACAGTCACTAAAACAGGTATCCAAGCTGTGACCCATCTTCAATCTCAAAAATATTTGTCTATTGAACAATGGACAGATTTGTTTGCTATATTAGCCTCAGTCTGTCTATAGACAAAAATATCCAGAGTCTGCTGAACCTCTTGCTCAGTTCACTCTAAAAACAAACAAAAGATGTTGGACTCTTTTTCAAGCATTTCAAAGTATCTGAAACTTGACTGTATGCAGGGAAAAATAATTTTGCTTATAATTGGACCATTCAAGGTTCCAATAATATAAATGACAGCATTTGAATATATTCTGAAACTACGGACAAACTTGAAAGTAAAATGAACAAAGATAATTCTTTTGTTGGACAATTGTTCAGAAATTTACTTGTAAAGTTACCAGGGTATCTCATTTTTCTGTCACACTAAATATCTATGTAAAACTGGTTTTTGCCAATTTACAATTAGATATCATTTATGAGAACACATTACAAATGTACTGGAACCAATAGAAGGATGAGCAAAAATAAATATTTTATATCAGAAATAAACCTTATGGTTCACAAGCTACTTTCTGCTGGGATATTTACAGATGAGAAGAAACTTTGTCTGAAGTTTAAATCACAACAAGAAAAGAAGCTAAAAGAGAAGAAACATGAGGAGAAAACTCGAAACCAAAGGTCATCTTGGGGAAAAAGTTTAAAGCTAAAACCAGTCAAAGAGTTAAATGGACAGAAACATGAGGGGAAAAAGTCAAAAGTCAGTTTTGTGGGAAAATTTTAATGCCACAACAGTTACTAGTCAAGGAGATGAACGGAAAGAAAATTCTGAAACTACGGACAAATATAAAAGTAAAACAAACAAAGGTAATTTCTTTGTTGGAAATGGTTCTTTTCCAAAGTTTTCACTTTGAATATGAAATATTTTGCAATGGCCCAATAATTTCATAGTCTTCAGTTTTCATGTATACATCTAGAGCATCTGACAGCAATGTAACCAAAACATAAATCTACAATGGAAATGCATACAGCACTTCAACGGGGAAATTTACTTGTAAAGTTACCAGGGTATCTCATTTTTCTGTCACACTAAATATCTATGTAAAACTGGTTTTTGCCAATTTACAATTAGATATCATTTATGAGAACACATTACAAATGTACTGGAACCAATAGAAGGATGAGCAAAAATAAATATTTTATATCAGAAATAAACCTTATGGTTCACAAGCTACTTTCTGCTGAGATATTTACAGATGAGAAGAAACTTTGTCTGAAGTTTAAATCACAACAAGAAAAGAAGCTAAAAGAGGAGAAACATGAGGAGAAAAAGTCAAAGGTCAGTTTTGTGGGAAAATTTTAATGCCACAACAGTTACTAGTCAAGGAGATGAACAGAAAGAAAATTCTGAAACTACGGACAAATATAAAAGTAAAACAAACAAAGGTAATTTCTTTGTTGGAAATGGTTCTTTTCCAAAGTTTTCACTTTGAATATGAAATATTTTGCAATGGCCCAATAATTTCATAGTCTTCAGTTTTCATGTATACATCTAGAGCATCTGACAGCAATGTAACCAAAACATAAATATACAATGGAAATGCATACAGCACTTCAACGGGGAAATTTACTTGTAAAGTTACCAGGGTATCTCATTTTTCTGTCACACTAAATATCTATGTAAAACTGGTTTTTGCCAATTTACAATTAGATATCATTTATGAGAACACATTACAAATGTACTGGAACCAATAGAAGGATGAGCAAAAATAAATATTTTATATCAGAAATAAACCTTATGGTTCACAAGCTACTTTCTGCTGGGATATTTACAGATGAGAAGAAACTTTGTCTGAAGTTTAAATCACAACAAGAAAAGAAGCTAAAAGAGGAGAAACATGAGGAGAAAAAGTCAAAGGTCAGTTTTGTGGGAAGAGTTTAAAGCCACAACTAGTCAAGAACATTAACAGACAGATCATTCTGAAACTACGGACAAATATGATAGTAAAACAAACAAAGGTAATTTCTTTGTTGGAAATTGTTCTCCTCCAAAGATTCCACATTGAATATGGAAAATAAATTATGCAATGGCCCAATAATTTCTTAGTCTTCAAATTTCATAAATTACATCTTGAAGTTCTGGTAGCAATGTCACCAAAACATAAATCTACAATGGAAATGCATACAGCACTTCAACAGGGAAATTTACTTGTAAAGTTACCGGAGTATCTCATTTTTCTGTCACACTTACAAAGATCTATGTGAAATTGGTTTTTGCCAATTAAAGATAATTTATGAGAACACATTAGAATGGAAGGATCAGCAAAAATAAATATTTTATCATGGAAATAAACCTTATGGTTTACAATCTATTTTCTGCTGGGATTCTTACAGGTGAGAAGGAACTTTGTCTGAGTTAACACAACAAGAAAAGAAGCTAAAAGAGAAGAAACATGAGGAGAAACCTCGAAACCAAAGGTCAGTCTTGGGGAAAAAGTTTAAAGCTAAAACCAGTCAAGGAGATGAACAGACAGATCATTCTGAAACTAAGGACAAATATGAAAGTAAAACAAACAAAGGTAATTCTTTTGTTGGAAATGGTTCTACTCCAAAGATTTCAAAGTGATTGTGAAGTGGCCCTCTATAAGGACAGGAAAAGTCACTTTGAAAATAAACTCTTCACATTGATCTCTGAGCTGCTGCAAAAAAGGAAGACTACACTACAGCAAACCTTCCATCAGGAAATGGTAATGTAGGATGTAAGAACCAGACATTGATAGATGCAGCTAGAGGGTTCATGGGAGAGATGTAGTAAAGGAACATTTCTTTTGTTATGGCCTCTTATGCCATTGTAACTAAATAAAGTATATTGTACTCTTTTATTTTGTTTACAGTTACATGGCTCCCTCCCCTATTTAGTTTATATAGCCCCGATAGTCTACAGACAATTCAAAAACTTAACTATGCCACCTTTTGGGTGCATAAAAGGTGGATACTAGAGAACGACAAACTACAGACATCAGACAATCACATAAGTCACTTAAACTTTAAGCTCAAGTGAATTGATCACCGGGAACTAGACTATAGACCATCATATTCAGATGTTTTAACAGCATGACTAGATATATTTTTCACTTTACAAGTATTACAATTTTCAACAGTATCTCCCTTACAATTCAAGAATGTATAAGCTTTACAATGCTCAAAATCTCAACCCATTTTTTGTGAAGTTTATCTAAAAGACTACTCCTGAATGAATTCTGACCTTCTTATTTGTTTTGATCATTTTGATTGTTGAACTGTCAATCATGTATTTTAAGGACTTAAAGATCATATTAAGAAATAAGTGAATGAAGGCTCTAAAATACTGACGCACATCTTACAACTGTGAACTTCCCAGAAAGGTTATATGTTTGCCAATTTAAGAACAAAATACATGTTATCTAATAAAAGTTGTCTGTACATGTATATATTAGATAAATAAGTTAGTAAAATCCCAGATAAACTTCACTATAATTGAGATGTATTAAGATTTTTACGATACATTTAGCCTATTACGACAAAGTTTGAACTGAACACAAGTTATGAATCTTATCATCCAATAATAATACTCCTAAAATAAGAATAAATAATTAAGAAACAACAATAAATTAAATTTTAGAGTTTACCATGTATAAACAAGTTGAACAACTTTATCACTTGTGGTGACTATTGTAAATCTTTGCTCCAGGTCATCATGATCTTAACTTGATCTTAATAAGACTAGATAGTTGACAAAACATGAAGATTTTGTCAAAAGCTTGTATCACATTAAAAAGGAAATTAAACACATGTGCACTTAATATCACATAGTTACTTGAACTCAAATAAAATATATGTTCAAGCCAACTCTTATTTACAAAGAAAAATATCACCTGTAAAAATCAACAGAACAATTACAAAACTACAGCTAGAAATCATTGTAAAACATAAATATCTTATACAAGTAAATATGTAACAACCACTTTTTGTACATGAATAAATTTAACTTTATGAGATCCCTTTGTATGGCAATGCTTTTTTTCTTCAGTAAAGAAGAAAAGCATCCTATAATTAATATACTATGATTAAAAGAACATGTGACTAATAATTAATATACTATGATTAAAAGAAAATGTGACCAAGCATAGTCTCTATACATGTAATACTTAAGTTTAAACTCACCTTACAAGTAGAAACTGGTGTAATACATGTACAATTGAAGCACATTTTGATATTTATGATGGTCTCAGTGATTTGGCACCATGTGCCTGAGATTAACATCCTTCTATTCTTATTACTTAATGAGATTCTTTAACATGTCATGTATCTTGAGTGTAAAACAAAAACAAGAGCTGTCAAATAAGCAGACAACTACTGTCAATGGTGAATAGAAGTAGAAAAGAGAGCATATGTACAAAACTGCTTGGCAGATTTATCTGATCTTCATAAAAACAAGAGAGAACATATACGAAGGTTTTTGAGAAAACTTAGAAGATATATCTAAAGGTACTGGAGAAAATTAAGCAAAAAATGACTCCACGAGTTATCTATCCATAAGAAGCCCATTCGAAATTTGTTGGTGAAAAGTATTCCAACTTTTAAGCGAATTTTCTTTAATATTTTAAAGTTTTTTGGCCATTAACCTTAACAGAAAGCTTAAATATATCATTTTTTAACTTGACTTGAATTAGAAGACTATATCAATCACCTATGACCTCCTCAACTTGATTATTATTTCTGGTATCCGAACATTCACATTTTCTTATCTTATCAAAATGGAATAAATGACCTCTGACCCCATATGAATATTTAGCATATGAAATCCAACCAAGAATGATAAATAAGAAGGAAACTAAAATGAGAATGCCAAAAACATGAGGATCTGGGGCTGCTATCACCATGATGAACTTGAGCATATCCATCAATTTATTGAGTGAAGTTTGAACGCCATTTACAATACCACGCTCCGTTTCTTTCACATGCTCCAGGAATAGCTGTGTAATAGTTAAATCTGCCATCCATAAACCTGAAAGAACAAGCAATTATCATAGTATTGCAAGCAATCCATAAGTCCCCTACCGGATAGAACCCCATCAGCATTCTGAAGGGCCATTGGCCATTCACTAATGTGTAAATTTTTCTCTATTTTAAGTAAATTTGTTGGAAATGTTCTTTAAAAGTGATCACAGGAAAAAGTTTTTATGAACAGACAGACAGACGGACTGAAGGACACTCTAAAGTTAATATTTGAAACATCCCTGTTACCAAAATATAACATTTTAAAAAGCAAAATTCTTAAAGAGGAGATAACTCTGGAATTAAAGATGCAATTTCATAAAAAGTTTCAGCTCTTTTTGACTAATCACAAATATTGTTATATTTGCCATGTTTTAAGCCTATTTGTTGCCAAGGCAACCAATATTTTTTCAAAATAGGAAGAACAGATAAGACATGCATAATCTCAAGACTGCCTCTACCCACATGTCAAGTTTCATAAAAATATTTCCAGAACTTTTTGAGTTATCACTGGATTCAGTTTATGTGTAAAATTTGCCATATTTTCAGTCTATGTGTTGCCATAGCAACCAGAATTTTCAACATAGGAAGAAAAGAAAAAGACGTGTATAATCTCCAGACTGCCATCTACACATATTACAAGTTTCATAAAAATATTTCTATTACTTTTTGCGTTAACACAGGATCCAGTTTATGTCTAAAATTTGCCATATTTTCAGTCTATTTGTTGCCATAGCAACCAGAATTTTCAACATAGGAAGAAAAGAAAAAGACGTGCATAATCTCCATACTGCCATCTATCCATATATCAAGTTTCATAAAAATATTTCCAGTACTTTTTGCGTTATCACTGGATCCAGTTTATGTGTAAAATTTGCCATATTTTCAGCCTATTTGTTGCCATAGCAACCAGAATTTTCAACATAGGAAGAAAAGAAAAAGACGTGCATAATCTCCATACTGCCATCTATCCATATATCAAGTTTCATAAAAATATTTTCAGTACTTTTCAAGTTATCCCGGGATCCAGTTTTGTGGACGGACGGACTGACAGACAGACGGACGGACGGACTGAGGGTAAACCTGAAGTCCCCAGCAACCAGAATTTTCAACATAGGAAGAAAAGAAAAAGACGTGCATAATCTCCATACTGCCATCTATCCATATATCAAGTTTCATAAAAATATTTCCAGTACTTTTTGCGTTATCACTGGATCCAGTTTATGTGTAAAATTTGCCATATTTTCAGCCTATTTGTTGCCATAGCAACCAGAATTTTCAACATAGGAAGAAAAGAAAAAGACGTGCATAATCTCCATACTGCCATCTATCTATATATCAAGTTTCATAAAAATATTTTCAGTACTTTTCAAGTTATCGCGGGATCCAGTTTTGTGGACGGACGGACTGACAGACTGACAGACAGACGGACGGACAGACGGACGGAGGGTAAACCTAAAGTCCCCTCCGGTAAACCGGTAGGGGACTAATAAAAGATTGCAATATTCATTGATTGACCAAAAATCAAGTATCTCTATAACTGATATATACTGTAAAAATAAAAAACTTTTGTGAGAGAATAAATTTCCAAAATTCAATTTTTTTTTAAAGAACAAGAGCGATCGATCAGTGATCACATGTGTCGCCTCATGATGGCCAATTTCATGTTGGGACAAGTTTTGTGACAGACGGACAGACAGACAGTTCACAACTAGACAGTTCACAACTAGACTTGGTACTGATCATTCCTGTAAAGTTTGGATAAAATTGCACCAGTAGTTTATGAGGAGTAGTCCGGACAAGCTTTTGTGTATCTGGCAACACACAGAAAAAAACACCTTTTTATCAAAGGGCCATAACTCGGCCAAAAATCATTCAACCGAAAAACCTGTACAATATGTGCAAGGACTTGAGCTACAGATCAATCCTGTAAAGTTTCATTGAAATTGCATAAGTGGTTTAAGAGAAGTAGTCCGGACAAACTTTAAAAATAAAAATTATTAAAGGGCCATAACTCTAACAACTAGAAATGTGTCCATAGGACACTGATGCCCCCACACGCCACTGTTCTGTCAATCTTATGACTGTAGGTCAAATATTTTTTAGACTACATGTGCCACAAGTTGAAAACTAAAAATCAACAAAGGGCCATAATTCTGTTAAATTTGGTCGCAGCAAAAATTCCTTCCTTTACTACCATCTACACATTAAGGTTGTTAATCCCTGGAAGTTTAAGCAAAATCTGCCATCTGGTTTAAGAGGAGTTGCGTTCATAAAATTTCTACATAGTATATAATGAAAAAATCAACAAAGGGTCATAATTCTATAAAATTTGGTCGCAGCGAAAATTCCTTCCTTTACTACCATCTACACCTTAAGGTTGTTCATCCCTGTAAGTTTAAGCAAAATCTGCCATCCGGTTTAAGAGGAGTTGCGTTCACAAAATTTCTACATAGTATATAGTGAAAAAATCAACAAAGGGCCATAATTCTGTAAAATTTGGTCAGAGCAAAAATTCCTTCCCTTACTGCCATCTACACATTAAGGTTGTTCATCCCTGGAAGTTTAAGCAAAATCTGCCATCCGGTTTAAGAGGAGTTGCGTTCACAAAATTTCTACATAGTATATAGTGAAAAAATCAACAAAGGGCCATAATTCTGTTAAATTTGGTCGCAGCGAAAATTCCTTCCTTTACTACCATCTACACATTAAGGTTGTTCATCCCTGTAAGTTTAAGCAAAATCTGCCATCAGGTTTAAGAGGAGTTGCGTTCACAAAATTTCTACATAGTATATAGTGAAAAAATCAACAAAGGGCCATAATTCTGTTAAATTTGGTCGCAGCGAAAATTCCTTCCTTTACTACCATCTACACATTAAGGTTATTCATCCCTGTAAGTTTAAGCAAAATCTGCCATCCGGTTTAAGAGGAGTTGCGTTCACAAGATTTCGGGACGTACGGACGGACGGACTGACGGACGGACGGACTGACGGACGGACGGACAAGTGCAACGCTATATGCTCCCACATTGTGGGGGCATAAAAATCATTGAACCTGAAAATGCTGACAATATGCAAAACTAGACTTGGTACTGATCATTCCTGTAAAGTTTGGATGAAATTGCACCAGTAGTTTATGAGGAGTAGTTTGGACAAGCTTTTGTGTATCTGGCAACACACAGAAAAAAACACCTTTTTATCAAAGGGCCATAACTCGGCCAAAAATCATTCAACTGGAAAACCTGTGCAATATGCGCAAGGACTTGAGCTACAGATCAATCCTGTAAAGTTTCATTGAAATTGCATAAGTGGTATAAGAGAAGTAGTCCGGACAAACTTTAAAAATAAAAATTATTAAAGGGCCATAACTCTTACAAAAATCATTGAACCGGAAAATGCTGACAATATGCACAACTAGACTTGGTACTGATCATTAAAGTAAAGTTTGGATGAAATTGCACCAGTAGTTTATGAGGAAGAGTCCGGACAAGTTTTGTGACGGACGGACGGACATACAGACGGACGGACAGACGACGGAGAAGTGATCCCTGTATGTCGCCACTACTCCGTAGAGGCGACACAAAAAATCTTTGTTATAAAATTTGATGCAAGTAAAAATTTGTAAATATTTTACTTCTTCAAATAGTCCAAAGTGTTTATTTTACGAAATTTTGGCATGACATGTCACTTGACCTTGACTTTTGACCTTAAAACATCAGAAAGGAAATGGCAGGTATAACTCATCATATGAAATTTCAATAGAAAGGGATTGTCAGTATTGTAGTCAATGACCATAAATAAAAATTTAACCAAAATGTTAACCAAAAACCAAGGTCAATGTTGATACTGTCAAGTGGGACATGACAATAGTTCATAGCTTCCTACATAACTAAACTAAAATAATTCTATATAAAACTAAAAATAATATATTTACCACATCTTGCTCCGATAATTCCAGCCAATAAAAGCCACACAGAAATAAGGGAATGTTTGCCTCTATCTGCCTCTTGTTCAGCACAACTTGACTGATCTCCAGTAGTATTCAATCCAGTCATGGTTTGCTGCAGTCCATCAACACTTAAACTAGTATTTCCAAGTGTTTTGTTAAACACGTCAGAATTTGTTACATTGTAAGGCACAGAAGTCAAATTTCCATTTGTTAACCCTGTACCATTATCACTGGGTAAATTACAAACTAAGATTGTGTCAGCTGATTGTTTAAGGAAAGGATCAAAAGGTGATCCTGGTGCCCAAATGGACGCCACACAGAGACACAAAAACATCACTTCAAAGAAAAAGCCAAACAAGCCTGTCCTTTCCAGTCCAATGCGTTTACTTATGAAAGGATATAAAAATGTTCCTACAATCCCTGTGATAGCTCCTGCTGCCATGGCTACGCCCATAATTGACTCATTTATACCTTGTGTGTAAGCAAAACCTGAAATATATATATACAGTCCCTTGTAGAAAAGAAAATTCACTATAGTGTGTTGCTCATTAAAAGAACTCAGCAAACATCACCAAGGATACTAATAATAATAATTAATAATAATAACACTTATTTTTAAAAGATATCATAAAATGTTGCTACTTCCCTAATGTTTGTTTTGGATAATTCATTTGATCTATTCGTATAAACTTGTAAATACATTTTTTGTATAAAGCAATTTAAAGTGATGAATAGATGTGATCTAAATATTTTAAATTTCTCATAGAGAACTAGTATCCTTCTTAATCAAATTATAACAAAACATTCATTAAGTTTTTCTACATGTCAATGGTTCAGATGAACTCCTGACAACCATTGGGCATCCAGTGAGAAATCTTTTTACATATAAATAGTAACAGAACAAATTTTTTATATTTACCAACTGTAATATTGTCAAAACCCAGCACTGTCATGTAGAGTGCAGCCAATCCAAGACCAGCAAATGCTTCATCGTATTTAATGTAGGTCTTCCATCCCTGATACAAAATAATAAATCCTGAAAACATCTTTATCCAGAATGGGTCCTTTTTCTTCTCTTTGTTTTGCTCTGTTTCATTCTTTAGCTTAGTCTCTTCATCAGTAGCAACACTTGCATCTTCATTTAGTTTTTCTGCATCACCAATACTGTTGCTACTGGTAATTGGGTCACGACCTTCAACATCAAAGTCATCTCCTTGGTTACTTTTAAGTGTTTCCATTTCTTGTTCTAAAGAAAAATGATAATCAATGACTGAAGGGTTATCAATCTGCAAATTTCTTACTAAATACTGTTGGCATTCACCTGTTATCATTTCCTTTTAGCACACAAATGGTAAATCAAACTATAACTCACAGCTAGAAATATCCACACACAAAAAGAAGATGAACAAGTTATACCTTAAATATATTTTCATGCTTAGATAAAAGCCCTCACATAAATGAAATACTTTTGACTTCAACACATAAAAGTAACATTTTAGACAATAACCTTGAACACATTTATCCTCTATTGTTTATTAATGTATGCAAATTGACATTTACTTTTTATAAAAAGTAAAAGTCATTTTGCATACATTATTAAACAACAGGGTATAAAAGTATTTAAGTACTACTGCACTACTATTAATTTGTTGTGTCACTGTAAGCAAAAATGACAACCAATTAAATGACTACATACTGTATTTCTAGAAAATTTTGAGGAAACAATATCTTGTGTTTTTTCCTAAGGCAAACTTTCATGCAATCATAGTGTCCACGCATTTCCCGAGCATTTGGCAAATATTAAGTATTGTTTGTTTGATTGATTAGGTTTTATGTCACACAAACACAGTTTAGGTCATATGGCGCCGTTGCAGCTTTACTGATGAGGGAAGACCTCAGGTGCACTTCCGTGCATTATTTCAGGCACCATGGACCCCTGAGTAGAACCACCGATGTACCATAAACTACTGTAGCGGTGAGGGGCAAGTGGTTTGAAGTCAACGGCCTTAACCACTCGGTCATGGACGCCCTTCGCGAATATTAAGTCACTGGGATAAAGAGCACATATGTAACTAATATCACAATTAGGTTTCAGTGTTTGTTCTCTCTCGACCCGTCAGACAAAACAATATAGACGAAAACTTAAAATTAGATCCATAAACAATCAATATGTTAAATATAAAATACCATTCCGACGTTTTTCGCTTATGCCAGAAAAATGAAAATACATTCAGATGACTCATTTCTTTGCAAAAAATATTAATTGCATTTAAAATAATATGGTTGAGTTATTTATCATGTGATATATGATTGATCTTACTTTCTGATAACAATTTCATTGTTTGAAATAAATAAATTTTAACAGTTAAAAATAAACAGTAAACGCTTATCCATATAGGTATTATTTGATATTGTACTTGTAACAAACAATTACTGTTACGGTATAACAAGATATGACATTTTGTTTGTATTTTGTTGTACTCAACTATGATAACTATACATATCTGACTATGGAGTTACTATTTCCTGTTAAGACTCTACCGTACACAATAAGATATCATGCAATCAAAAAAATACATTCAATGCTGAGTACAACTGAAATATAATCAAAATGTCAAATCTTGTTATAAAAAAATAAGGTAATGTTTAGTATAACTCTGAAACTTTTTGGGCACTTTGTCTTATTAATACTCACTTCAGTTATTGGTTATTGAATTTTCAAACCGGTCTTTAGTTAAACCGGTTTTTAACTAAAAACCAAACATACCCGCATAAACAGAAAAACATGACACCCCTACAAATAAATTTTCCACCCAATCATATTTTTTGGCCCCATAATGACATGTAACACCTACCAGCTGGTTCCCCATTCCTCAACTTTTTGTTTTTCAAAGCTGGTACCAGGCTATACACCTTCCAAAGTAGAATGTATTCTACAAACACTGAGACCAGGTTCCATCCGGCAATGAAAAATGCACCAACACCAACTGATGCAAAGTACATAATTTGTCCAGTAGCTATGGGGGCCACAAGTTTGTTACAGAGATCTATTCTACGTAATGTAGCTGTCATACCTGAAAGAATACATGTATATTATACTAAAAATTTCAAGCCATTCTCATGTTCGAAATTTTTTTATTCCAAATACTATGAATGATATTTATTTCAGCTGATGAGGCACTTTTGGACATTTTTAACAAAATTTCAGAAAAGAATCTCACTTAATATTAATCAAATTATTTCTTTCCACACTAAACAGTCATTGTTTGCCCTGAAAACCTGTCTTATTCGCCTCTATATGATCTATATGATGCTGTCAATAAATTCATCTTTAATAACACAATAAAATTATAATTATCAAATATCTTGTTGTCCTGGAAAACATCAACCCTTTTGTGCTTATGTAAAAACTTTTCAGGTTTTACTAACAGTCATGCTTCATACATCCACACTACTGTCATTTTAATGTAAAGCAATTAGTGTCAAGTGATCTGAACTAAGTGACCTTAACAGCACTTAATATTTCAGTACTTAATTTATATGTCTTTTATGACGACTTATTTAAGTGTTTACTAACAACCAGAAAATATCAGACATTGTCAGGATTATTAACTCTTTAAGTGCTGGACCCGAAAGCGTTTTGCCATCAGTATAGATCCAGGCCAGCCTGCACGGATCTGCTCATCCGTGCAGTCTGACCAGGCTCTATACTGTTGGCTGACAAATTTTAAATATTTAAATTGATATCCCTAAAATGAATAATGGACAGACCCAAAAAAGGAAGTGGGACAAGTCCACTTAAAATATTCAGCATGTTAAGGGTTAAATGGTCTTACTAGCAAGTAGATTTTTATCATCTCCACATATCTCTACAATCCAGTCTTTCTGTACTGCGATGTTAGTACCAATACTTCCTAACATTGCCAGTATAGCCACTAGAATGATCGCCACATAGCTCAGTATGAGAAGTCCCTCGTTAGGCCAGGCAGCTTGTATCTCTGTCTTCCATGTAATTACAGTATATACAATAAGGGCACAGACAACTACACTTGTGTTCTGTACAATAAGACTTGTCCTGGCAGCTGAAAGACAGAACAGAATGATCGTCAATCACAGTAATTGAGTTGATTACTTAACAGTAGTTAATACTGTATACTAGTATACTAGCTAGTTTCTTTAGTTTTCTTTTGATTGCTACAATGAGTTATATCAACATTTATAGTTCCCTTTTTTTGTTAAGTCCTTTTTTAAAGCACAATTTTAAAATTACATTTCAAGATCAGCTCCAATTTGGCTAAAAGGTTGAGTAAAAATCAAGAACCTTTAACTAAATATTGTAAATACACAGTATTCTATTAACTTTATAATGTAAATACACAGTATTCTATTAATATATCAATTCTATATATAAAATTACTACAAACCTTTCAACCTAGGTGTTCTATCAATCCATTCACCAACAAGTGCTCCAAACAACAACACTGCTGTACCCATAGATAGCCCATAGACAGCTGTAACCCTGAGAGATTCTGGTGATATGATAACCATAAACAAGCCCACACCAAATGACCACATCCTGTCACCCTGGAATAAACATAAACTACATGTGATAAGGATTTTTCAATGAATTATGAAGAAAATACTATATGGACAGGTCTCTATTATTTGATTTTTTTCCCCTATACAGATCACTATAAGTCATGTGATTAGGTACAGTGTGTATTTGCTGTAATCACTTCCATCTTCAATCTTAATTTTGTTAAATTCTCATCCATGTAGGAAATGGTGAAGCAGGGTTCAACGTTAACACTTAGACGAAGAGGTAGTTTTTTAAAAAGACATGTCAAATAACAATGACTGAAGAGTTTAGATTCCAGATTGGTAAATATGGTAAATAGTGAAATAGAATCTATCCATATGCTAATTTCTGTATGATTCATTGGTATATCTAAACTTTGGCCATTTTAAAATCTTGTGAATTATAAATATATACAATTCTCTTTCATCCATGGTTTAGGTAACAAAGGCCCTGTAAAATACATACTTATTACATGCATATGTCTTTTATCAGGCCTGTTGTCTCTTATATAGGTACTGCCAGTAAACAGAGACATCCTAAGAGCTAAAACATTTGGAGTTTTTAAACTGAGAAGCATTAAATTCCAAAAGGTAAGCCTATATTTAACACTACAGTGGAATTCTTTCAAAAAGTATTTTTGTTCACATGGGAAACTCTTAAAATTACTTAAACCAAAAAATATGTCTTAAAAGGTTCTCAAAAGAATCCATTTTCTGTTTATTAAAGCTCATAAAGTTTTTATAGGTTAATGCATCCTCCTGATTTGGACCTTTGTGTAATTTTTTCTCCAATGGGTGGCATTCCCAAAATGTTAAAAAAGGCCTGTTTGCTTAAGAAAAAGGACAGCATTTCCTTTTTAACAAAATATTATTTAAAAATAAGTAAGTAGTTTCTTACCCAAGTGGATAAAGCATGGCTCAGGTAGACAAATAATCTTATCTTCAGTGGTATAGATCCTTCTCCAGAACCTGTTTGTAAACAAGAAAATTTGCTGAATTGATGTAATGTTATTAAAACTTCTATGTATTATATAATTATGTTAAAATACATTTGAAAATAAATTTTGTTTCTTTGTTTATTTTGACATTAAGCCTACAAAAATAAGCAATGTCAAGCAGAGCAAATAGCTCTTCCAGTAATAAACATCTACTTTTTAAATTATGACTGTGAAATATTTATTGTAATTGTATCATTCATTTTAGCATGATACAACTACAATGACAGAAGTTAAGTGAGACAGGCAATCTATGCTCAAATTCAATTAATCTAACTGCACAAGGAACAAGAGCTGTCGGTAGGACAGCAACGCTCGACTATTCTTAGTGCTTGATAGTACAAAAAAATGCTTGATACAGTTACCTCCTCCTGTTTACAGGTTGGGGTCATGATGGTGAACAAGTGTGCAAAGTTTCAAAGCCATATGTCAATGGACTTTGAAAATATTTGAAGTATTACAAAAACTTTAACGTAAATTCTAAGTCGAAAAAGGGGCATAATTCTGTCAAAATGCTTGATAGAGTTACCTCCTCCTGTCTACAGGTTGGGTCATGATGGTGAACAAGTGTGCAAAGTTTCAAAGCCATATGTCAATGGACTTTGAAAATATTTGAACTATTACAAAAACTTTAACGTAAGTGGTTACGCCGACGCAGACGCCGACGCTCGGGTGACTACAATAGCTCTACTTATTCTTATCGAATAGTCGAGCTAATAAATTATTCTTATTAATTGCGAATTTCATGTATTCTATTTTTATGTCATTAATTATACAAATGTATATATATTTGCATAAAAGTATATGTAGTGGTGCATTGGTCGAGTGGTTAATACAACAGACAAGTAAACTATTGTTAAAGCATAGGCAGTAAATCTATTTTACCCATATTCTCCCAGTGTTTGCTTGCCTCCTTTGTGTTTCCTGTCTATTCTTTAGTTCATCACCTGCTCATGTCATGGTCATATGTGGAAATGATTTAGCAGTTCTTCACCCCATCAATGCCACAAAAAGAACATCTGAAATCAATGAAGTTACATGACTGACTTGAAAAGTGTCATTTCAGGCCTTTACAAATCCACTTGCCGGCTTGCATTAGCGCGAGAAAAAAGTTGATCAAAATTGCCCAACAAGACAAGTATTAAATTCTCTCAATCCAATTGATGTTTCTTTTAACATTTATAAATGAAGTTATTTGGTTAACAATCAAACTGCAGACACCTTATCAATCGTAATACTTGTCAAATTAAAAACCGGAAATCGACCTCATGGCTAAGTATAAAACTGAATCGATTTCCGAACCCGTATGATGAATTAATTAATGCCTCCCCGTTACGTAATGACAGCAGCATTTGACAATGTTTTATACATATGCATTCGGTAAAGTTTTATTCTTAGCAATAAGGCTTGATTCCGGTAGGGCAATGCGTTAGAATTTGAATGAGATAAGTATAACAGACTATGTCGAAGATTATACAATAAGAGTATAAAAAAGTATTATAAACAAAATGTTTATTAAATTAAGCATTATACCAATATAGACATAGAAAAATTCTACTCAGCCTTGCATTACTTATTATTGGTCAACTCAACCCAATACCAACTTGGTATGTGTCAATTTGGTCCTATACCAACTTTGTACATGTTATCTCAGTCCTCTAACAACTTAAGTACATGCTTAATGAGCCCTATACAAAACTAGTTTCAGTTTCAGTTTGAACCTATACCAACTTGGTATGTATCAAAAGTGAACTTACACCACTACAAACTTGATTGATTCAATACAGCCTTTTAGTTTAGGCAAATTGGAATGTGTCAAACTCATATCTATCCAAACTTTGAATATATCCCCTTACTAACTACTTGGTTTGCATCCACTCACACCTATACTAAGTATTTGTCAACTTAGCATTATCTATACCAACTTGGGTATTGACCACTTTTAGGGGAATGGTGGCTGGGCCCATGGAGAGGGAAAAATTGTATTGTCAAAGCGGAAAAAGATGATGAAAGGTTAAAACACAAAAACAGTCCATTATTGCAAAATTGGGTTGATAATTATACTTTTATACCATTATTCTTATGTCCGCTACTCAAGTCCCACTATTTGCAATAAAAATGAGATTATTCAAACAAGACTGTCACGCCATGTGACAAATGCCCCTAAAAGGTGAGTGTATTATGAAAAGAAAAAGGAATGAAAAGTTACTTTTTTTTCCGAATATTATATTGTTCTTGTTGATACTGAAGTGCTATTTATATACTATCATCTTAAAATAACACCTTGTGAACAAGGGGTCTTGGATGTGAACATCATCTTGATATGTGGTAGCATTTGATTGCCAAGTTATTTAAAATTCCTTCTATACATGCCAAATGTTTACAGTTTGGGAACTAATTGTGTGAACCTTCAAACTCTTCTTTATGGGCATTAAGTAACCTTCAAACAAATTAGAGTGAACCTTGACTTTGGAGGAGGTAACGAGGAACATGGGTCTTACAAACAACTCTTATCTTGATGTGATAGACATTTGTTTATTTTAAAAATTCTTTCCAATGCTGACAAAGTTAAAAGTCCGAAACCACGGAATGTGTGTTTGCCTATAATCTCCAATTGTTATAAGTTTGAACCCTTTCGACAGAACTAACGGACAACATGAAGCTTTTAGCCGGCGACACATTTATTTGATCGGTGTAAGACATTTGTGCCAAGTTGTTTTACAATTTCCTTTCCATGCTGACCAAAGTTACAGGTCTGGACATAATGTGAATCTTCAAACCCTCCTCAAGAGAATGAGTAGGTTTTCAAAACTATAAGTGTGGACCTGTTGGACTTTTGGTTGGGCCATGGTCTTAGGACGCAACAGGCCGTCTTGATGTGGTTGGGACATTTATTGCCTAGTGTTATCTTTAAAAATCCTGTTCCATGCATTAACAAATTAAGTCCGGGATAAAATGTGTGTAATTGTGATATAGGTGAATTCAAAATGGAAAAGTGTTGACCTTGACCTTTGAGTAGGGGGAATTCTTGAATGTGGAACATCGTCTTTGATTTGGTTGACATTTTTGGGCCAGTTATATTTAAATCATTCCATTCATGTCAAAGTTACTAGGTCCAGACAACGAAATTAAGGGTGGGGATTGCACAGACAGACGGACAGACAGATGGATGGTGCGATTTCAAATATGCCTCCCTTTGGGGGGAGCGGGGAATAATAAAATCCCATTTAATAAACATGAGTAATGTAACAAAGAGGTGGTAATTGTTCGCATTGACTAGTTCAACCACAGGACCTTGACATTCTATAAATAATTGAAAATATAGCAAATTAATAATAAAGAAATAACCTGATAACGGCAAATACAGTGTCTATTCTAGGACGCGCGATTGCGCGATTCACTATAGTATTTAACAGATCGCGCACAATTCAAAATCATGTGCGTGAAAATCGCGCATCTATAAAAAAAGTTAATAAAACAGTAAAACTTCCATCCCGCATTATATTTGGTTGTTTTGTTTACATTTACACCGAAAACCGAAGGGAGGTAACTGTAAGCTAATTATAATAATTTAGTACTGTATGGTACTGGTTACGTGAGTTGACGGAAATAACGGAATGTTCCGTATCGTACGGAAACTAGTGTGCTAGGTCTGACAGTTTGGGGCCCATTTTAGTGTAGTAAATAAACCCAAGAAAATGAGGCAATCCTAGCTTGCTACGATCTAAACGTGAAAGATAGTTCGTTATTTGGTATTGCCCCCAATCCCTTTATAATCAATCGCGGCAGTTCTGTAATAATTTGTTTCGTTTAAAAATTCAGGGGGGACAACTTCTGCTGCCTTAAATAAATATTATCGTTTTAAAATTATTTCATCGGTTGAACGCCTCAGTGTAAACTTAATGCAGACGATTTAACATTGGCAGTTTATATTGGCACCCTTTGATTTTGAAAATCGCCCCCTTTTTTGAAATAGAGGGGGGAAAATCACCCCTATTTTTCAATTCCTAGAATAGACACTGCAAATATAAGTTATAACCTTCTATACTGGTTGGGGAGATAACTTCGGCTGGTTGATAAACTCGGCTTTTTATAATTAAATCGAGTTATCGGAATGTTTAATCTAATCAAGCTCACCATCTCATACTATCGCTGGAATTTGACAATATCTGGAAATTTTGTCAAGTTTGGTAAGATACTTAAAAAATAACACAGACTTTTACCTGTTTGTTTACAAAACATGCCAATAAAAAGTATGGGAATCCCATTGTTGTGCGCATGTGCAGCAGATGCTCATTTTGAGGACCGCACATGGGTACTTTTATATATTGACCGACTACCGATAAAGCAGACGACGTTTACGTATACATTTTGTAGATGAAATTCAGAGTCACTTTTGTCTTGGTAACTCAGAAAAAAGGCTGATTACACAATTGTAATCTTTAAGTGGAATGGATTGAAAGACTGATGTTAAATGCTCCTTTTATATGTTAATGTGCAGGTTGAATATCGCTAAATTAATTTCTTCTTCACTCTGTTAAGCTAAGCAAATTAAATTTGAATCACTAATTTTTTAACTACATATTATTTTGTTATACATTAATAAATGATAATGCATGTGTTTTTTTACGTAAAAATGATTTATATGTTACATAGTACGTTGCATATAAATATCGTGTTATCATATCTATATTCATTATACTAACGTAATGCTCAACAATTTTGGTAACAAATATTTTTTATTTGACATAAATGAACAGCAAAGAAATAATAAAATGTCTAAACATGTTATTTTACGTTTTAACTTACTCATTTAAGAAGAAAAACAAAGAGCCGGAATTATCTACTCGCGCGCGTTAAAAATATCCTTTTTACGTACCTCTTCCAGGGCCTCTCAAAATTACCCGTTATGTTTCTAAATATAACTTTTATGGTGATACCGGAAAATCGAAGAGCTGAAGTTTATTATGGTGCAAGATTCATCAGAATACGTAAACAAATAAATGAAATATGCCCCAAAAACACCGATTTTCGGCCGAGTTTATCTCCCAAACCAGTATACTTAAAAATATAAAGCAGGGGGGTTTTCACTTTATTTCTTATTCATTTGAATATATATATGAGCCGTTCTCCAGGAAAACCTGCCAAAATGACATCGATTATGACGTTGGGAATTTCCCGATAAATATGACGTCATACTTGAAAGCACATGTGAGTTCAGTGACCTTTATGTATCAGTGTTTACATGATAAATTTTGACATTTTCTGGATATTAAAATGGATAACGATATAGAGGTATGTAGTATTTATATATTTTATCAACTCTAAACTAGGTATGTCGCACATTATATTGTTCAATTGTTCCTATATTGATGTATTTTACGCAAGAGTGAATCAGGAAAATATGGCGCGTAAACAAAATAATGTAGCGTGATTGTTGTAACTGGTAGGATGAACTTATATCGAGCAACACATTAATAAACATGCAAAGAGTTGGTTGATTTCGCTCTCATACATTTCTTGACATACTCGTTAAGATTGTTTTTCAGATAAAATTTATGTATTCGCTAAATTTGGAAGACATTTCTGTGTACCCCACCACTACCAGAATGACATCGAATCAATCGTCAAAATTATTTAGGACTCAGTAGATCTAGATCTCTATTATTTTTTTTAATAATGTCAATATATTTCAACGACGATAAGTTTTATTAAAATTTCAGAAAATTTAGTTGGTTTTGTTTCGGAATGGGTATGCTATTGATCAAAATCTGAACGATTAAGGTTAAATCACTTAATTTATATTGTCTTAGTACGAAGTCTGTCATGGCCGAGCGGTTAGAGTCAATAACTTAGAGTCAGTGTTTTGCTGGTTCGATCCTGACGCGCGGACTTTTTTTTTCTTTTCTTTTTTTTTTTAACAATCATATTTTATAAAATGCTATGTAGAATTCTGTGTCAAATTAATTGTTTTTATTAAAAAAAATAACCTTTAATTGAAATGAAATGCAGTCTGTGTATGATTTTTTGTGGACAAGCAGTTGTATATTAAAGGAAAATTTGTATTCTGCAGTGAATATAATGTTTTTATTTTATATTAGCCTATTAATTAGCGCAGAAGCTGTATGTTTTGTCATAATTGTCAGTACTCACCGGACTTATTTATCTTACAGGATTTGGAGAGTTTGCTTTCCGAGCATTTTGGTGTGACGCCCGTTTCGACACCCTGGGGATCGCAGGAGGAGGTTGATGTATCTACCCTGTGTTTAGACTCGGACGAAGATGATCCCGAGTTAGATGTTGATCAGCGGGTCCAAGATTACATAGACACGCTTCCAGATGACGCAACAGGGGCTCCTGATACTAGTGACAGCGAGGGTGAAGCAGAAGTTGATTGTGATCTGCCCCAAAATGATGAAGACGTGAACAGAATTACCCTGTATCATAAGAATGGTTGTGGGTGCAAGAAAAACTGCATTAAACAGTTTACTATTTCTGACATTTTTGAGCACATATTGAATATTAGGGAAATGGAAAAGCAAGATAAAGAACTGTATATAATGGCAACTGTAGTAAACAGCCCTCAGAATGAATTGACAAAGCGCGGGAAGAAACGTCAGAAAAGTCACCATGACTTTTCATTAGTGGGGAAACCAGTGTGTAGGACTGTGTTCATGTTAACCTTTTGATATCAAGCGTAGCGCTCTTCAAAATATTCTAACACATGTTGATCAGCATGGTGTGGTTCAAAGAATTCACGGCAACAAAGGGAAAAAACCTGTCAAATCTTTAAAGTTTGAAGATATTAAACATGCGGTGACATATGTTTCCCAAACTGCTTAAGACATAGGTATACCACAACCGGCTGCACCACGTGGATCAGACAACATACCACCAGTTTACTTACCAAGTGCTACTACAAAACTTGATATTCACAAGAAATACGAAACATCGTGCCTTGAATCTGTACCAACAAAAAGGGCTGTTCATTATAAAACTTTCTGCAACATCTGGAAGCAATGTTTACCACACATCAAAATTGCATCTCCACGCGACGATGTTTGTGCAACTTGTGAAAAATTAAGAAAAGTTGTGATGGATTCCAGAACCGAGGATGAAAAATTGCAGGGCACCGCAAATCTTAGAGAGCACATTGTCAACGCACAAAAAGAAAGAGAAGTCTACAACAAATGCATTGTATATGCTAAAGGTCTGTTTGAGACAGGGGACAGGCGACATTCTCATTTCACCTTTGATTTCAGCCAGAATTTATCGCTACCACACCATTCAAGACAGATGGGGCCAACTTATTTCATGACATTGCGCAAAGTGCAATTGTTTGGTGTACGCAATGACGGCACATCAACGCAATACAACTTCCTTGTAGACGAGAATGAGACTATTGGCCCTGATGGTACTCAAACTCACGGACCTAATGCTGTTATCAGTATGGTGGACTGGGTGATAGAAAGGGACCATGCGGAGGGACCAACAATTTCACTACATGCCGATAATTGCCCAGGTATGTTCGTCATAAACTGCTTATAAGTTTATTGAAATTATTTACTTAATTATTTATAGCAAAATAACGTTTTCAAATAATTCATCACTCATTGCGTTGAACGTGCATGCATGCACGTGTGCATAAATTGTAAAAAAACTGTTTTGCTACAAATTAGTTCAATACTTAAATGTACTTTGGTGTTTATATGAATAACTTTTAATAGCACTTTCTATCGATTCGTGCACATATTGTTAATTATATGAACAATGCTGTTCATAGTCAGTTATCAAAGACATAAACGTCAACCGATATTATATCACAAACTTTGTTCTTAAATTCAATTAGCATAAAATATTCTGAAACATAAATCTTGAACATGAAAAAATTGTTGTCTGCTGAAAATGTCGTCTGCTAAGTTGTTCCACTTTGCTCCAAAGTTGTAAGAAGCTTGTCAGTGACAAGCGTCTTGGAACCTGATGAAATGGCCTATCATCTGATTCCAAAATATGTTTTTAAAGGCTGTTAAACATTTTCCTGCAGATTGCGCATGGTTAATAATAATAAAAGTCAGCCCTTATCACACGTATTCACACACTGATATTCAGAATATTATCATAATTAAAACAAATATTGATGATTTTAATGTGAATTTGCCAGACTTAATTACCACATCTAATTAAACTCAACATAGTACAGCAACTATTTTAATTTTTTTACTGTATTTATTTCTATTTCAGGACAGAATAAAAACTACTATATGCTGGGATATCTGATGTGGCGTGTTCTGACTGGACGTCAGGAGAAGATAGAGTATATGATGCAGATACCTGGTCACGCTCGCTGCCATGTTGATGCTGGCTTTGCCCGCATAAAACAACTTTACCGCAGGACAGACACGGATGCTCTTGGTCAACTTACGGAAGTTGTAAATCAGTCATCATCTACAAGCCAGTGTATCCGGTACCCTACATGGACATGGCGAGACTGGAAAGGATTTCTGAAAACGTACTTCAAACCGCTCCAAGGCATCAGGTAATTTAAGAGTAAAAAGTACAGTTTTGCGTTTTTGTCAGCTTAAGTAAAGACATATTGTAAAATATACTTGAACATAACTATGAAGTGCATACATTACAGTCAAACTTATATATAAAGATCACTCGGGTAGGGTCTGTGGTCTTTATTGACGGGTGGTCTTTATTTACAGGTTAAATACACGCACTTTGAATGTGATAATTTGAAACAAAACATGCGGTCTTAGGGTCATGTGGTTCTATTCAGAGCCTATTCAGAGGTAGTATCTATACATGTTAAGTGTAACATTTTATCATCTTGATTTAACAAATTTAATCCATAAAGTGCTTCTATAGTTATCATTATAATACAAATTTTCATAATGACATTAACATGTATATTTTACCCCTTTCAGAAAGTATCAATATTTTCGTATGAGCCGAGATCATCCTGGAATGGTGGTTGTTAAAGAGAGCTGCGAAAAAGCCGAGGAGACATTCTCCATCATGAAATCAAACAACTTTCAGTTTGAACGGGGACACTTGCCACAAGTACTGCAACCAGGTGGAATGTCTGCTGCACGACGCAGATATCTTTACAGCACAGTTCGGCCCTATGTGCGACCTATATTTCAAGATGAAACATGTCCAGGAGAGCCTTAGACAAGTTTTAATTAGAACACTCATGTTACCATGGTAACGGATAGAAGGACATTATCTGACTCCTGTGATTTTTTATGTTATTATCTAATGGTTTCTGTTACAAATATAATGAATATATTACAAACTACAAACTAAAGTATACCTAGTTGTACTTGTTTCAATTGCTTATTAGTTTTATATGAGGTATATTGAAAGATTTATTTCTACATGGTTATGTACATGACAGTGCCTAATCGCGAAAGGCTGTATCTCGGGTACCTTTTGAGATAATTTCAAAATTTCTTTTGCATTCTACAGGAAAATGATGATACTTGAATAATTGCTCAAAACCTCAAATTCGATATTTTGGTCATAATTGCAGGTTTTTCTGGAGAACGGCTCATATATATATATATATATATATATATATATATATATATATATATATATATATACCAATAATTAATAGAATGACAAGCTCCTTTAATTTAACTAATAAAATTCCTCAAATATTATCCAAAATATGAGTATCCGAAGATTAGGCTATTAATCTACAAAAAAATAACAAAACATTTAGTCAAACAACTTCATACAGTAAACGTGTTTCAATCAGTAAGTTAGTTGACACGACATTTTAATATTTAAAACATGTGAATTTCTTACATGGCAATATGAATAAGATAAATAATATCTAGAAATTTTCCATGCCAGCACGTCGTTGTTGTTGTTGTAACTTAGGTTGAATGCCACTAAATTTTTTTTCACCCATCGCAATAATTTTACAAAAAAATATAAAGGAAATTGGAATTTAAACAAGAGCGATCAGTGATCACATATGTCGCCTGATGATAGCTAATTGCGTGTTGCAGCTATTGTGTAGCAGGGGTCACAAAAATCATTATGAGGACAGAACACATTTTCTTATTCAAGGGCCATAACTCAACCTAGGGTCTTTCTATTTGAAAGACTCTGCTCAACCGGAAAACCCGTTTCTGTGGAGTAGTACAGACAAGTTTTGTGACACTTTTTGTGACGGACAGAAAGACGAACAGGCACTCAGACGGAGAGACAGACAAACAGGTCACTGTAAAAGGAATCCCTATCAGTTGTGGCTAGCTGGCAACACAAAAATCATTCATAGGCCAAATCACCCTTTTTATTCAAGAATGGCCGTTAGTTAGCCAAAAATCATTCAAGCAGAAAACCTGTGTGATATGCGCAAGTACTTGAGCTTCCAATCAATCACATATTTAACTTCTTGAAATTGCATTAGTATCTTTTAAAGAGCAGTATTCGGGATAATCATTAAAAATAAAAATCATTAAAGGGTTAAAAATCATTTAACTCTAACAAAAATCATTGAACCGAAAAATTCTGACAATATGCACAACGAAACTAAGTACAGATTATTCCTGTACAGTTTGGATAGTTTCTGAGTAGTCCTGACAAGTTTTGTGACGTACGGACAGATGGGTGGACAAACAGACGACGGAGATGTCCCTATATATGTCGCCGCTACTTTTAGTGGCAGGCGACACAAAAAAATCAGTTAAATTAGTAAGACAACTTTAGATATTGTACATATTATCATAGGGCAAGTACATTGACCGACGCGTAAGCAGTTACATGATATATGACTGTGCTCGGTAAATACTATATAATAGTAGGCCTTATAGACTACTGTAATGTTTAAATACAGTAATTGTTGGCGACTCGTACCAGGTACATAATTATAAATGCAAAGATATATTAGTATTGTATTTAAACGTCTCTGCTCTTAAAAATTCTTTAAAAAACTCTTTTCGGCAAAAAAGTCACGCATAAATTTATAATGGTTTTCTGTGAAATATTTCCGTACTGCTTTATACCGTTTTCTTGCCCATTTTTTACTGCGCGAATTAACAAAAAATGATGAAGAACATTGGAATTACCCAAAATCTATTATTTCCATGTTAACATGTGGCCTTTCACCTAATTTTGGTAAAAATTTGTTGTTCTGTAACATTTTTATTTTTTTTAGTTAACATAGGTTTTTTTTTGGAATGACAAATATGACAATATACTGTAAGTATAATGTAATAGCATGTGAGCAAAGTCAGTATAGTTAACAAACTAAAATTAAAAAAAGGTATGAACAATTGACAGTAATAGTAGGTTATACAAATAATCTTTATGTTATATGGGTATTGCAGCAGATCTTAATAGTTTTGAAAAATTGTAAAAGCATAAGAAAACAAGTATAAAGATTCGCATGAACATTACCTTTTCTTGATGAATGTGGATTACAGCCGCGTGTTTTCATTGAATAACGAAAATCATGATTTGCGTTGCATTGGTATTTCATTCATGAAAAAAAAACACCAAAAAACTAGAGCCACGACATAAAACATGTATACTGTTATGCCATACTTAAAATACATAAAATGAGCCGCGTCACGACAAAACCAACATAGTGGGTTTGCGACCAGCATGGATCCAGACCAGCCTGCGCATCCGCGCAGTCTGATCAGGATCCATGCTGTTCGCTATCAGTTTCTTTACTTGTAATAGAGTTGGTAAGCGAACTGCATGGATCCTGATCAGACTGCGCCGATGCACAGGCTAGTCTGGATCCATGCTGGTCGCAAACGCATTACGTTGGTTTTGTCGTGACGCGGCTCATATTAACTTTAGAATCGGATAAACCGGTAAAAGGTCATTGAATATTCAAATACTTCGGGTCAATGACATTTGCTCTTTAAGAATAAATATACTGCAAATGAATAGCATGTGTATTCAAATGATAAACGTACATTTTGCATTTTGTAGTTTATCAAAACGTTCTTCAAATACAGTATACAAATACATATGGCTATTAGCTGAAATGTCCTTTCGAAGTTTTCCAGACTCTAGGTAATGCTTATATGGTATGACTGTTTAGCAATCAATATGTTTGTAAACGTGTTTATATTTACGCGTTTATGTTTACGTGTTTATGTTTATGTGTTTATGTTTACGTGTTTATGTTTACGTGTTTATGTTTACCACTGACAGTCAGTAAGATAATATCTGGTAACAGTACGAAATGCTCAGCAAAAAGGCACAATTATATGTGCATTTATAGAATTTATGACTTAATTGACCTTTCAAGATCGAAAAGGCCATTAGATTGACTAAATATAGCCGTAATATTCTTTCTGAAATGTACCATTCAAAGCATTGATTTTAGTATGATTCTGATGACAACGATACCTGCAATTCGTCATTATCTTTAATTGATAGTTCCGAATATTAACGTAGTCCTACTGTAATAATGAGCATAAGATTATTTACAAGTAAAATAGTTTCCTGCGGTGAACATTTTAATGATACAAAGATATTTCGGGGGGGAGGGGGGGGGGGGGGTGTAGATAAACGTTTGTATCAGGAATATAGTTGACAATTGAATAAACGATCAATATAGAAGAAGCTAGGTCTTGGGAGACTGGTGACCGTTGAAGACCGGAGAAGGTCGAATATAAAACAATTATTTCTTTTTAAGAAAATGATTTAATAGGCCTACCATTTTATGAATAATTCCGAGCAAAAAATAAATAAAGTAAACACACAAGTTTACGCAGAAAATATCTCTATTTATTATGGCAGATGCCACTACGAATATTTTAATTTTGTAGATTTTCAGTATAAACAATTTATTGTTTGTAAAATTGGAGATAGATATTAAAGAAACATTGATAATTTTCAAACACATCATTCAAGTTTTTCCACCTTAAACGGTAAATTAATTATAGAAAATTATAAATATCACGTAATATTTTTTTATTCTTAATTATGTGTAATTCGGACTAATTCCCTACAGGTAAATCCGTAACGTACCGGCAAACGGTATTTAGCTAGGTTTTCGAAAAGGTCAATTAACCAATCATGTACGGTTTACAGATCACATGCTCCTCCATGCACCGAAACAGGTCACGTGCTCCTCCATGCCTCAAAAGTTAAACGCGTACCAATACCCTGCGGTCTCCAGACCGCAGGGAACAATCACTCATCCTTTATCGTTATGTACTACATTCCGGTAATAAACGATTAAGAATTATTGAATACCGAAGATTGTGCAAAATTACGTTCCGGAAAATACCGATTTTTTACGTTAGATTTTTTTGGGCAGGACAGCATTGCAGTAAGACAACCTTAATTATGCTCTCCGTTGGCTCTCGTCATTTTTTATGGACAAAAGATATGTCTCAATGCCTTTATTCAGATATTGCCATGGTAATGTAATTTATTACATCACCAACCACGAATGAAGACGTTTTGTTGCGTAAATACATGCTGACATGCCGACATATAAATTATCTCGCTAATGGAAACTAGGGTTGTCAATTTAACCTTCCATACCTGACAGAATAGCATTTTTCTCTAGCCATTTAAAACTTGTCCCTGATGATTTAAAAAATATAGATTAGTTTACAAAGTACATTTACCCAGCTTGTTCATATTTCCCATTTATTAAAGCGAGTTGTTCTATAATGGGCACATATTCTATAAGGCTTTCAAATATTGACTTAAACTTTTGGTTAATCTTTTAAAAAAGTCGTCCTTAAAGGCAAGTCTTAAGTGATTTATTATGAGCATTTATATGCTGAATAATAATATTTTGGTCTAGAACAATTTATCTAATGCGATATAAATATATTCGATATCGTATCATGTATCTCACACTTGCCAACAAAACCTAGATTTTTAATTAGTGATTTGTTTTTTATGTCCGATACTAAAAACTATCAATGTTATTATTAACTGCATTACAGACCAATCCACTTTAAGTCGTTCTAAAACAATGGGAGAGCTGATTACATACATGTAGTTGTTATTTATATTTTCAGGCCAAATGAAACATACAGCTTCAATTTGCCAATTGTTGCTGTTGATCTTAAAGTGCTCTTTGTCCCAACGTTTCTTTGAATTTACCGGCCCGTGTTTCACGAGCCATCGTAGCTGTTCTGGGATCATGTTCGGACTTATTTTACCCGGACAAGTGACCTTTGTGCCACAGATAGCTCATGGATTTGTGTTTGTTCAGGACACGGAATAATTAAGACGCCACAGAAGAAGAAGCCTTTGTTGATATTCCAGACAACATTAACTTTAAACTTGTTTTTCAATGGGATCTTACATTTCCTAAAATATTGTGCACATGACATGAATTAAATGTTAAATGATCTTCTATGAATAAAGTCTTAAGGTCTTTGAAAAATTATCAGAGAAGAAAAAAAAACAGGAATAAAAACAATTGACTTTCTACGGAAATATTGAACTTCATTGAAAATACATGGAAATCCATGTTGGTGTTGGTTCTTTTTTCATTTTATTTATTTATTATTATTATTCTTATTATTTTTTTCTCAAAATGCAATATTGTTGTTTGCTAAGTTCAAAGCTGGAGTGGCACCTTTAAGAGTCGAGACTAGCCGTTATGAGGGTCTACCTTTAGATTCACGCTTTTGTCCGTTTTGTGTCAATTTAGTTGAAGATGAGTTTCATACCCTTTTCAAGTGTTCATTATTTGATGATATAAGAAATGAGTTATTTATACATGCAGCTAGGTAAAATAATGATTTTTATAATTTGAAAGAGGAACAGAAAATTTATGATTTTACTCTTTACGAATGATGATGCAATCAGATGTTGTGCAAGAGCCTGCTTTCTGATATAACAATGTAGACAGTTGTTTTTTAAGTACATGATATGTAAAATAGTTTTTAATCCTGTAAATCAATTTTGGTTTTATCTTCCTAGGTAAAATTGCTACAATA